AAAAAAAAAAAAAAAAAAACAGATAAGCTTTGCACATGACCGTTTTTTAATAGTGGAATAGAGCACTCCACTCGCCTGGTCTCCCTGTGACCACCGGTCTGTATTTGCAAGATGGCTCACGGAGGTGAGCAGAGAAGAGTGTCTCTGGCCTCAGAGCAGCATTGTTCTCTTTGTTCTATTTGATTCTGTGGCCTTGACCTTGCTAGTAGATAAGCCCACTGACTCAGATTTCATTCCTTTAGATTTCTTCTCCTATCGATGGACAGAAATCTAAAGCTAGAATTATTTTAAATATGTGAAGCAGCCTAAATGCCCAACAATACTGAAAGAGTTAATTACATTATGATGCATTTGCTCTAGGGAGTGCTATGAAGCTTTTGATATTTATAAAGGCTACTTGCCAAACTTTAAAAGCTTACATTAAATTTAAAAAATGAGGCTAGTGCATCTAGATACACTGTGTAACTATAAAAATAAGGATAAAAGGGAATACCCAGAAATTCTAAATTGTGCTACAATAGTAGCAAAAACATAAATTGAGTGACTTTTTCCCACCCATACCTAGGTATTACAATTATGTGTTTAACTTGAAAAAAATAATCATGAAGAGAAACCTCATTAAACATTTCAGCTTGATACCACAGCTACAAGTACAAGAAAAAACCCAAATGAAACCCTCATCCCTGGAGCCATATTCAATCATTTCATCCCTGCTGTGGGTAATATAGTGAGTATAGAGCCAGGGCTCCTGGAATGCTTATCTTTTTCCAGTTAAGAAAAATGAGTTAACCGTTAAAATCTCCCCCCACTATTCCTGAATTTCTAAGCCCTGTTTATCCCCACAGACGTTTTCATTTTACTTCTGTGGCTAGAATATTCAAAAAGACCATTATGTCTTAGGGTATACCTAAGTGACGTGTGGCATTAATAAAGAATACAACAAAGGCTCTCATTTATGGCATTGTTTATCAAAAGATGAAGCCTCTAATAAAAATACAGAATCAGAAAATGTCAGAGCTCCTGCACTCCTGGATGAACACAAAAAATATTTATATCAGAGCGAAAAAAAAAACAACTTTGGCTATCATCTAGCCCAACACTACTCTCATTTCAAAAGAAAACAGAGCTGTTTCCCAGAGTCTGATCAGTGCAGAGCTGGGAACTGGGACTATAAACCCAGATTGCCTGAGTCTCCTGCCATGTCAGCTGCTTCCAGGAAATGGGGCTTCCAGTAAACTGGAGTGGGGCCTCCAGCACAACCAAAGGTAATGAGCAAAATCATTAAATCATGGTAAGATTCCAACTTGAAAACTATGCCCTGAGTCTGTAGAAACGCACTTGCTGTTAGAGGGCAGTACGGAGGCATGGAGCGGCCCAGCCGACTGAAGCCAGAAGGAAGTGCACACTGTCCTCCGCTGCTCTGCAACTCCAGTGCCTGTGTTCCTCCCTTTATCCTCCTTCTAAAAACAGTTTTAAGACATAATTCACATCCCATAGGGAGTACCCATTGAGAGTACGCAACGCAATGGTTTTTGCAGATTTAGAGTTGTGTTACCATCATCACAACCAATTTTAGAACATTTTCATCCCCCACCCCCTGCCAGTTCCTCCATCCCTAGGCAACCACTAATGTACTGTGTGTCTTATAGATCTGCATATCTTGGATGTTTCATATAGACGGGATCACGCAATATATGGTCTTTTGTGGCTGGCTTCTTTCACTTAGCTCAACGTTTCCAAGGTTCATCCGTGTTGCATCCTGTATGCATCTTGCCTCCCTTCATCTTGGGTGTGATCACTTTGACACCTGCTGCTCAAGTTTTGTCCCTGTGATGTGCATGAACCAACACGGGCAGAAGGGGAAGGGAGCACAGACGAGGATTTCCAGGCACTTACTTCACATACTTACTTTGATTTTGTAAAGCTGCCTCAGCCTTTTCAACAGTTACCAGCAGATTTTCAGAAAGGTCTTTTCTTTTGCCCACTATTGAAAAACCATTCCAGACATACATCATTTCCTAAAGAGGAAAAATAAAAACCATTTGCCATTATGTGAAGTTACTTAATGACCTTGATGATCACAAAACTATGTATGTATGTTTTCCCTTGGTTGCAGGGTTCTCAAGACAGATCACTTTCCTTAGCTTTTACCTTTGATACTGTGAAGAAATTCTATATACATGTATATAGTATGCTTTTACCAAGAAATGGTTTTATTCATTCATATAACAAATACTCATTAAGTACCTGCTGGTGTTTGATTCTTTGGGAAGATAATAGAAATAGATGATAGATAACAGATACAGAAATAAATATTTTTAAATGCTACTATGAATAATTCTGTTTAATGTAAATTTTTGTTAAAGTAAAGGAAAATATTTTAAAATATCTGCCAGTTGTTTACATAAAATGTTTCCAAGAATTTCACTGGAAATGAACATTGGAATATTTCACTGGGCTTAGGTTCTTTTATACTATTAAAAACATGTGACAGTCCAGTAATGCAATCCAATATGCAGAAAATGCATTCATTTAAATGCCATATGGCTGAATGACAGCTCCTGCAAATGTAAACTAATGATTTCTCATTGCAGATTATATTTAATGGGCAAACAGATGAGAATTTTTTTTGGACCAAAAGCAAATGTGCTTTTACTTGAAAATATTTTTCTAATGTTCCTGATAGTGCAGTTCGTATTTTGAAGAGTATGAAATAAGCAGGGCAATTAGTATCTTCTTGGAAATAAGTGAATCGTAAAATATGATAAAAATTAATGCTTGAAAAGCCTCTTACCAAGAGAGTGGAAGCAAAGTTATCTTTATTATACGGCAGTGAAAACTGTGAGCATGACACTCTCTCTTCCATTTCACATGTAATTTCCATTGCTAAAAGAGTGAGAGCCCAACCAATAACTAATGGAATATTTTTGAATTAATGCTAATGATCTTTAAAAAAAAACTGTTGATGGAATATTTTTACCAAAAGGAGGCAAGGTCATGTCTGAGATTTTATGAAAAAGAAGCTTTTGGTAAAATTCTTTGGTATCAAAAAAGAAAACAGGCTCAGCGCCTGTGGCTCAAGCGGCTACGGCACCAGCCACATACACCTGAGCTGGCGGGTTCAAATCCAGCCCAGGCCTGCCAAACAACAATGACAGCTGCAACCAAAAAACAGCTGGGCGTTGTGGCGGGGTCCTGTGTTCCCAGCTACTTGGGAAGTGGAGGCAGGAGAATCGCCTGAACCCAGGAGTTGGAGGTTGCTGTGAGCTGTGATGCCACAGCACTCTACCCAGGGTGAGAGCTTGAGGGTCTGTCTCAAAAAAAAAAAAAAAAAAGAAAACAAAACAAATTCCTAGGTACCACTGCCTCAAGTCAATTTCCCGTATAGTCTGTATCCACACTCCTAAAGAAAGAGAAGCAGTGAGTTAATCTTCCTTAAGATTCTTAATAGTAAAAGGAGATACACTTATACATACTCTGGTACCTAGGAATAGGGCAGGAAGAGCTATGATGGTCTAGAAAACTCTCAGAAATGTTCCGTGAGACAGAAAAGCTTTCCCAGTGCAAATCACTAGATAAAAATGAATCCGGCCTGGAGCTAAAGCTGTAGTTGGTAAAGCTGTGGCAGGTTCTCATGTGAGCGGGAAGAGGGCATGTTGGTTATTTTCGTGACTTACAGAGTGTTGTTGTTTCTATCTGTGCTCAGACATAGCTACAGAATGGTCATATTTTTGTCCAGCTCCATCACAGTCACAGAATAGCCTTGTGTGATGTCGATGTTGTCTGAGGTTGTCTGTGCTGGGTAGGAAACACCTGGGCCTGGGTGCCAACTGCAGGGAACTCCTATCTGACACCTGTCAGGGACTGCATTCTTCTTTTTCACAGAATGTTTAAAGAGCTCCCGTAAGTCAATAATAAAATAAACAGCCCAATGAAAATTTAGGAAGAATAGGAACAATTTACAAAAAAAGAAACAAAAAATGAATAAACACAACAAAAAGATGTTCTACCACACCAACAGGGAAACGCAAACTTAAAGGGTAAAACACTGCTGCTACTAACTTAACTTGGTACAGCTTCTTGGGGGGAAATTTGGCAATATCTAGCAAAATATTAAATGCCTATGTAGCCTTCAACAAGGAATACCAGTTCTAGAGATCCTTCCCAGAGAATGATATGCACGTGCACAAAAAGCGTATCTTCACTGTGGTGTCTGTAATAGTAAAAACTGGGAACCCTAAAAACCTGTCACAGGGGAATAATTAAATAAACTCTGGAATTAAAAAAAAAAAGACTCAGAAAAGCCTCAGGAGGACCGCAGACATCACTGGTACTAAACAGCTCTCCTGTGCCGACTACCTAGGGAAAAACTAAGCCCTGGATGAGTCACAGTAATTTGATATTCAGTATTTGTTGAAGAAGACTCCATTAAGAAAGTTTAACTTGAAATCACACTCTTCACAGAAGCCTCGCCTAAAACGGCATACCAATTAAGAATGTGAGTTGGACACCAGCCCCTTGTGGCTCTTGAGCATGGCAAATATGAAATGTCCAAACTGAGATGTCTTCAAAGTGTCAAAGACACACCAGATTTCAAAGTATTAGTATAATATAAAAGAATGTGAAATAAGTTGTTATCACCTATATATGGAAATGACAAAATTTTATATACACCAAGTAAAACAATATAAATTCCTAAAATTCATTTCATGTTTCCTTTCACTTTTTTAACGTGCCTATTAGAAAAGGTAAAATTACATATGTGGCTTGCATTGTAATTCAGCTCGACTTCAATGAAGTCAACTTTACCACTCTGAATTTCCTTATCTGTAAAACGGGGCTAAGAAAACTAATGACATGCATAGAGTTATGATAAGAAGTAAATGATATGTTTTCAATAGCTTCTCATAATGTCTAGAACACACCAGTTAGTCAGGAAACATTAGCTATAATTTTTATTCTTTATTATTTACAAATGTTTCCCCCACAATACCACTCACAGTGGGTTTTAATTAAGCTGAATTTCACAGCCCAAGCTATTATAGACATGCTCCCCCAGCAGTGAATAGATAATTCATCTCTAGTAAATAAAAATGAATACCAACCAGAGCAGGCAAGACTAGCTTCACGGGTGCAGGCAAGGAGGCAGAGTAGCGGCGAGACTTCCTCACAGCAAACTTCTCGGTAGGGAGAGATTTACCAGCAATTCTCTGCTTCAAGCCTTCCACCTGTCTGCAAAGAGCCCCAGCCCCAGTGAGAGGTCATCAGAACACAGACATTACTTACACCTGTGGTTTTCACCTGGGAACCTGTTTGACTTGTACATTTTCAGGCCCTAACCCAGACCTACTATTGAATCAGCAGCTCCAGGGGTGGGACAAGCAACCTGGGTTTTGATAAGCCCTGCAGGTGATTCTGCTGCACACTCAAATTTGAGAACCACTGATTGGCACATATTTCTTTCTAGTCAACTTAGCTAATGCCTTAAGTCTATCCAACACAGTCCAGGTAATCTAGGTATAAAATTGGTAATTTCTATAAATAAATAGGTATGAGATCAAAGTATTTACTTGCATTGTGGATACCCACAAAAAGGAAGAAGAGACACTGAATATTAACTATTCCTATTTGTAAATATGACAGTGATCTATAAAATAATATGGCTCAGAAGACAGCCATCAATTAATGGATAATTGGAGAAAATGTTCCCCAAGCATAGGTGATTTTGGAAATAGCTTAGGATATGGCCGTGTTTACAAACTTCTCAAAATTCTAAGGAATTCCAATCATGAAATTTATAAGCATATAAAATTAGAGGTGGATGGGAAGACTACATTTTCCTGGGAGCACTTTCATATACATAATTTTATGAGTACATCAAACAAGTTGCTGAGAAAGGATTCAAGGAAACTGCAGTTATAAAACGTGGCCCACAGAACACAAGTGTTCCATTTAAAAGGTTTGCTCATCAATTACGTTTGAAGAATACTGGGGGTGGGGGCTCTCAGTTCCTTGCCTTCCTCATCTCTAGTGTTGTCTCCTTTCTACGTCAGGGACTTATATGCTAACCCTACACTCACAGCTTAGACCACGACCTCTAACTTATCTACTACAAAACACGATTTCAAGCCCACCACCCTTGGAACTCCATTCTCTTCACTCTACCTCCCTGGTAAGACTTTCGGTCTCCTAGCCCAGCAGCCTCCTTCTTCCCTCTGTCCCTTCACACTCCTGCTTAGGTTGCACTTGCCTTTACTGCTCCACTCTGCTCCAGCCCATTTCCTATACTCCTCTATAGCTTGGTCCTTATACTCATCTGGCGTAAACCCAGCCCTGGATGAAGCTCAGGGCCCATCTCCCCTGTGATTGCACCAAGAGCAGGTTGGCATCACTGTCAAGTCACCAGCCACCTGCACTGCCTGACGTGCCCCTACTGTGTTTCTCATTGATCCACTCTGCAACGATATGAGTTCATTCTCCATTCTCCTCCTCCCCTTCTCTCTCACTCTCAGCAGATGACCCTGCCTCCTACTTCATAAAGAAAACAGACACTGTGATGTTGGAACTCCTTACTTCATCCTCCCACCCAGAAGCCTGCCTTGCTCTGCACCTGTTCTTCAAGGACGGTGACACCAGGGCAGAGGAGGACTGGATCCTCCTCCTAGAGGAAGCCAATCCTACCTCTTGCCTTCACAGGAACCTTACAATATCAGTTATCCCATTTCCTACTTGTATGTGCAACTTCTCATCCTCCTCAGATGCTTCCCAGTGGGGGGTGGTAATGCTCAAATCTTTCCCAGTAACATATTCTTTGACCTTACTTCTCCCTCCAACTATCACCTCTCTCTCTCCCCTCTTCTTCATAGTCAGAGTTATTTAGGGATGTATTGATGTTCACTCTCTCCACTTCTTTACTTTTCATTAACTCTTCAACCAACTTCAGTCTGGTTTCCACCTCCATTTTTTTTCTTTTTTTTTTTTTACAGTTTTTGACTGGGGCTGGGTTTGAACCCACCCCCTCCAGCATATGGGGCTGGCACCCTACTTCTTTGAGCCATAGGCGTTGCACTCCATTCTTTTATTTCATAAGCTCCTGCAGGTTACTAATGATCCCTGTAACACTAAATACATACTATGTCTTATTTCTAAATGGCATATGCGTTGAAAGTACTACAGACTGAATGTCTATGTCCTTCCACAATCCATACCTTGAAATCCTAACCACCTGTATGATGGCATTAGAAGGCGGGGCCTTTGAGAAGTCCCATGAGAGCTCATGAGAGCAGGACCCTCATGAATGGGATTAGTATCCTTTTAAAGACACAAGAACTTGCCTTTTTTCTCCCTGCTCACCACCATGTGAGCAAGAAGAGAACAACAAGAAGCCAGCCACCTTCGAACCAAGAAGTGGCCCCCAGCAGACATCAGATCTACAGGGATTCCTTTATCTGGACTTCCCAGACTTCAGAGCCATGAGAAATAAATTTCTGTTGTTTAACCCATGCAGTCGATGGTATTTTGTTATGGCAACCTAAGTCATTCTTAACATTTCTTTTCCTTTGACCCACATACACACATAATGAAGCACTGTGTCCTGTCCATTATCACCTTTTAGCTCTTTAAATGTGCAGTGCCCCTTCCTGCCACTAGACTCTCTCCTGTTGCTCTCTTGCTCTGAAATTGCATCACACAACTCTCCATGGCCACAGCAGCTCCACTCTCCCTTCAGACCTCCCATAGCTCAACATTCCCCCTATGCTCTTACACACACAGATTCTAAGGGAAAAATTAGCCAAATACTGTAATGTTGCATTTATCTGTGTGATTACTGCATTGATGTCTGATTCCCACTATAAACTCCACAAGGACAAGAGTCAGACAGCTAGTACCCTTCAGTGAGTAGGAGCTCAGCAAAAAGGTGATTGATGGATGGATGGATGGATAGATGAGACAGAATTAAACAGAGGGCTTCATGGCAAGAGTATTTCCAAGTCTTTAACAATACCAGTTAATACTAGGGATATGTTATACATACTGGGTTAAGTTTATCTGACCACAGAATACCTGTGATTCACAGCAATAGTTAACATCTTTTTGAAACAACACCAATTGAGGAATCTGTCTTTAAAATGTAGTAGCAAAGTCCCAATAATAAAACCATATTCCCATAATAGAACAATGTCTTCTCTAGAGTCCTAATCATAACAACATATCTGCAAAATCCTGCTAAAAGAATGACATTTTGACTTTTCGCTAACTGTATTCTTTTAAGTGTTCCCATATCAAATGAGTAGAGAAATTACAGAAATATGAAAGTGAAGTATGGGAAAGCACTAAGGAAAAAAAAGACAGACGATGTATGTGTGCGCTCCTTTACACGGCCAGGGTATTTGTTACAGAAACAGTGTCTTGCTTACCTGAACAAAGTTACTACATTCTCCTTAGTTGCTAATACGTCCTCCTCTGGAAGCATACTCAAAATTGCAGCTTTCAAGAACACATATGTCGCCTTAAGAAAATGAAGAAAAGGAGCTTTTAAAGAACATCCCTAGGTACCCCACAAATCAGGAATGACCTACAGATCTTCTACATATAATATTAAGAGGCATCAACGAAATCAAAGGAAATGAAGTTTTATATTGCCTGTTCAAAATAAGAACAACACTTTTCAATAATAATTTAGACTGTTTCTCTATTTCCCAACGATAGCATTCATGGGTGAGAAAGCAAACAGAATGAACAAAGAATCATTATCTCATTCCTCTCAACTTTTCACAAGTGAGATAGAATACATTTTTATTACCCCGAAAAGCTAGGTCATAAGGGCATTGAGAAGTCTACATAAAATTATCGAGACTACTGAAATTTAATAACGTTAACCATAAATGTATTTCATCTTTAGAGGTAAAGCTTTTTTATTGCAAAAAACTCTTTGGACAGTTTTCGAAGCATACAATGCTATGGACAGAGCCTATAAACAGTAGGTACTTAATGTATGTGCCCTCCTTTTGTGGATCTCTAATTTGTGAACAAAGAGCCCTAAATAAAAATCATCCTGGCCACTTATTAGCAAATAAACAACATTAATGAAAGCACTGCACTTTACCTTGGACCATTTACTTTCTCTGCAGAGCAGATCTGAATAGTAATACGCCTGCATCCAGTTTTGTTGGAATACATAAATCCACATTAGCTCCCAGTAACACAGATGGTGAAACTGTTTCCATTCTTCTTGAACTGAAATGCATTTTCGAAATACCTCTTGTGCCTATAAGTCAATTGCATAAAGCTGATCATCCAGATATTAGACAAGGAGATAATAACCTAATGGAAAAATACATAAAACACTTTGTACAAAAAGAACAAAATTACCACTCATTAAACCACTCAGCATGATGATATTTTCCTTTCTTTACATACAGTGACACAGTTCAGTTCTGCCTCTTTATTTATATATTTATTTTTTTTGGCCAGGGCTGGGTTTGAACTCGCCACCTCCGGTATATGGGGCCAGCACCCTACTCCTTTGAGCCACAGGCGCCGCCCTCTGCCCCTTTATTTTAACTTTGTGAAGGGGATTTGACACTTTAGAATGTGGGAGTGGGAAAGTTCCATTCTAGGCAAGATATAAAATATAAACACCATTTAAGAAAAGACTGACAGGGTGGCGCCTGTGGCTCAAAGGAGTAGGGCGCCGGCCCCATATGCCAGAGGTGGCAGGTTCAAACCCAGCCCCGGCCAAAAACTGTGGAAAAAAAAAAAAAAGACTGACAAATAATAAAGTTGGGACATTTATAGGGTAAAACGCATCTTAAAGTTATGGGCAATGGACGCTGGAGAAGATATCACTACCTATATAGCAGGCAAAAGATTAACCCCTTGTCATACAACAATTTTACAAAATTATTTAAGAAAAAGACAATCAATGGGAAATTTGGCAAAGATATAAATAGGCAAAGCAGAAAAAAATATGTAAGTGACAAATATACCCAGGAAGAAACTTAAATGGACATATAAGTTGAAAAACTAGGTTCTCACTTTTAGCCATCACATCAGCTAAAAGTTAAAAATGGATAATGTCCAGAGTTGACAAAGAACATTGGAGATAAGTATTGTCATAACTTTATAGGAGTTTAAATTGGAATAACCTAATATAAATATGACGTAGGAGGGTTAAATTGGCTGGATTTATCAAAACACAAACATCTTTTAGGCCAGAAATGCTAATACTCAGAATCTATCTTCAATAATTATACCTGAGCACAGAAATATACATACAGCAATGTCTATAATGGCACTGTTGCTAGTGGCCCAGTGTCTGTGAACAGTGGACCACACTAATGACTCTAGTAATATCCATCCCATGAAAGAAAATCCAGCCATCAAAAGAATGAGGGATATTTAGATCTACTGACCTGGAAAAAGATCCAGGATGTATATAAATAGAAAAAAACAAATTACAGAACAATGCAAGTTTGAGCCCATTTGTATGAAAGAAAACTATTTGTGAAAGTAGGATTTATATGAACACTCCTCACTCTTCTTCTTCTGACCCCAGTATTTCCTTCTTTGAGGGGATTGATGAATAATTTCCTTTGATGAAGAGTCTGCATGTAGCAGAGAAGAGCTGCATTTTATGGAAAGACTAGATTTCAAAGTCAATTTGTAACAAAATTGGTAATACTCAAAGCTGTTTGAAAATCCCTAGATTACCCACCTGTTATTTTGTATATTCTACCCTTAATTGTCTCACTTTCTTTATATGTACATGTAGACAATATTCAGTAACCTATGATACAGAGGGTGTCCCCAAAGATAGCCATACATAGGAAAAATTAACAAATTCATGTTATATTTTATATTTATATACCAACACACAGAAATTCTGTAATGAATATCTTGTAAATAAAGGTACATTTAACTTCAATTTCCCTTTTTCCCTACGTATGTATGGCAACCTTTGGGACATCGTATATAGACAATGTATACACAAACTAAAATTTTTGCTTTTAATTACATTATTTATTACTTTACTTTTGTCTAGTCCACCTAGCTAAATTTATTTCTGTTGAAGGATTGTGTGGCACAACTCCAGAACACGGACAACTCCCTCAAATCACTACTGCCAAATAAATTACCTCTTCAAGATTCCCTTTCAGCAGCTCTATCCGGGCATGATAAAACAACATAAGTGAGCCCTGCGGAAACAGGAAAGAAACACACTCTTCAACGATCAATGCTGGCTGATTAACTCTGGCCGAAAGATCATTTGAAATACTAAACGTACATTTGGGAACTGCTGGAGGAAGGGTTCGAGGAGACTTTCTGCTTCCACAACATTCACTTCTCCTGTACCTAGAAATTTAACAGGAACAGCCTCAGTTGTCATGAAACACGGTACATATTTATAACTCTCCAAACTTCATTACCATACACAGCCAAAGCCTATTCATGGAAAAGATGAAAACTTCCATTTTGTCATTTTATACCTGGAAAAGTAAGGCAAGTCTCATCTATAACTTAAGTTTAAGGAAGTTATAAGACAGACTTTTTTTTTTTTTTTTTTGAGACAGAGCCTCAAGCTGTTGACTTGGGTAGAGTGCCATGGAATCACAGCTCATAGCAACCTCCAACTCCTGGGCTCAAGTGATTCTCTTGCCTCAGCCTCCCAAGTAGCTGGGACTACAGGCACCCGCCATAACGCCCAGCTATTTTTTGGTTTAGTTTTCATTGTTGTTTGGCGGGCCCAGGCTGGATTCGAACCCGCCAGCTCAGGTGTATGTGGCTGGGACCTTAGCCGCTTGAGCCACAGGTGCCGAGCCGACGGATTAATTCTTAAGAACAGAGGTGGCTGTCTTAGATTTGAATTTGAATTTCTGCGTTTAGTGGCAACATTACCTTATTTTAGCCAAAAATTTCATATTTTTCAAAAAAGAAATCTAGGTTCAGCACCCATAGCATAGTGGTTACAGTGCCAGCCACATACATCAAGGCTGACAAGTTCGAAACTGGCCCAGGCCAGCTAAACAACAAAGACAAATGCAACAAAAAATAGCCAGGCATTGTGGTGGGGACCTGTGGTCCCAGCTGCTTGGGAAGCTGAGGCAAGAGAATCACTTGAGCCCAAGAGTTTACTGTGACCTGTGATGCCACAGCATGGCACTCTACGAAGGGTGACATAGTAATACTCTGTCTCCAAAAAAAAAGGAAAAACAAAAAAGAAATCTAATATGATGAAAATATCACCTTCATATGCAAATTTTAGCTGAGAACACGTGAAAAATATTCAGTGAAGGAAGCCACCCCATTCCCTCCACTATGACAAATCTCACTATTTTCTTTTTTTTTTTTTTTTTAAATCTCACTATTTTCTATCTTTACTCAGAAAAAAAAAAAAAGGGAACAGATAACAGACTCCCAGCTCTTACTGATTCTTCTGAATTTTTACTTATTCAGATTAAAGATAATCAGCTTTCAGCGAAGCCCAATGTCATCAGACCTTACCAAGGATCAGGGAGATGTACGTATGAAAAGCGAGGATGGTTAAGCAGCACAGTGGGGACCTCATGCTCTTCCCTGATGCACCTTCCCGTAACTGCAGGAGGCCTAACTCCTGTGGAAATTAAATGCATTCCAGAAGGAAAAGAACATGATTGAATAATTGTATTCAGAAACTTGAAAATGTTGGTCCCTATATCCCCACCCTCCATGAAGGCAGAGTTTACTTTGCAAGACCTTAGAATATTGATAAGGCCTAACTATTACTATACAGAAACTTTACATTTTAAACGGGCACAAATCCTTTTCTACATGTGATTCTAGCTGTAGAGGGAGAAAAAGGCAGTGCTCATTACATAGAAATGCTGCATTTCTCTGATGGAAATATTAATTCATTAAAACATACTGAAGATCTAAGAATAAGGCACAATTGTGGGTATGAACAACACGGTTCGTGTCTTCAAAGTTCCTTCCACCAAGCAGGGAAGCTAGCGCAAGAACACAGGACCTTATTAGAATACGGTGAGTGAGTTCTACAAGAAAGACAAATAAATGACTCTGAAAGCCAGGAATGCGGAGCCTCCCTGGAAGAGAATGAGGGAAAACTCTGAAGAATAGATGGCACTTATCTCAAACCTACTAGATGGAAAAGCCTAGTAGATGAACATTATTTGAAATGAGGTTGTGTGGGAGAAATATCCAAAGCAGAGCCCAGCGGAGGCAAGGAAGCACAGGGCCTGTGTGGGGAGCCCACTGCCCAGCTCAGCAGGAGTACTGGGCAAGCGAAGGGTATGGGCGGGAAGGCTGGAACTCGGGGTACAATCAGACACTGTGGTCTTTGAAGCCATGGTATAGTTTGGACTTCATTCAAGAGGCAAGTTGGAGTTACTGAAGGAATAAGGTAGAAGACGAATGGTTAAGGAGAAGGATGATCACGAAATGCAGAGTCAGGACAGAACGTATGGTAAAGAGATCACCATAAATACTTAAGAGCTCATGAAGAACACAGACAGCGGAACAGACAGGGGAAAAATCACAGCTTCTTATACTCATCCTCATCCAGTATCTCCCAAATCCTGAACTCTTGACTGACAGAGACAGTTTTTGAGATGAGGCAACTTTTGTAACACCATATTGAGTGTTATAATTAATAAAGAGTATATATTTATTACAAAACCACAAGTACACAGAAATTTCTTGAGTAACAGAAAACAAATTTCCTCAATTAGCTTATAGCAAAACATAAATCTAAAAGCATATGGAAACCCAAAATGCTGTAACTATGTTGGATCTATGCTATTTTATCCAATAGAATCACAAAATATTAGACATGGAAATCTAGCCTAATTTCTTCATTTTACATAAGGCAACTCTGGGGTTGCTGAAATGTTAACAAAGCATATTTGAACAACACAAGAGTAATTAAGATCCAGCAAATTATATTTTAAAATATAATTTTTAATTCCAGAACTTAGCTAACAAAGGTGAAAAATTTTAATTTTCAGCAGAAAAATCATATCTAACTTCTAAAAAATATGATCAAGGACAAATGGCTCTTTATGGTCCTGCAGACAAACTGCCTATAATCATCACTCTAGTTATGCAAACAGCATTCATACTCAATAAATAATGCTTTATCCTCCCTATCAAAATTTTAAAAAATTAAATATGTACCCTGTTTCCAGAAAATCCAATAAATTCTAGTAGTCTGATAATCCTTGTAGGTAAAAGTGACAGCATCTGTAAGGAAAAAAAAATACAAGTATACTTCTGTGTTAGCATATCTAACTCCGGACAAAAGTTAAATTCTAAAAACTTAGATTTAAAGCTTAGGGACAAGTTTAAATGATTAACTATATCTCTCTCAGTCATCACATACTATAGTCATACTTACAAATTTAGCTAAAAAAATGAAACTAAAACCACAACCTTTTTTTATTGTTAAGCCTGGCCTTTCTAGAATTCTCTAAAGAATACTGGCACCTTCTACATGGAGCAATGAGGTGGTGAGAAGGCAACTGCAGCGCTCACTTCCAGACAAGGCTTCTTTTAGTTTCTTTTCCTGGAAAGCACAGCTCTATGCAGGCACCACACGGAAGTGGGCCGCAACAACACGACAGCCCCTTCCTGGGACATCCCTAAGGACAGAGGTCATGGGAAATTCTCTCAGTGGGCAGAACCTTGGGCAGTGTGCCTAGGTATGAACTTTGCTTGGGAAGAGACGTGTCCATACACACACATAGGCAATCATGTATACTGGGCAATTATATGTTCATGGGGTTGTGGTCAATGGTTTAGTTAGATGGTCAGGGGCTTGGAAGTAATGTGATTAGACAAGGAAGGCTGGGGAAGAAGCATGGGGACAGATCTCTCTGAATGACGAGAAAATGTGAACATATCTGTGTCCCTTGTGAATGGTCACCAAAGGGTGACCTCAGCAAAGGAGGATTCCAATAACCAAGTGGATGAATGGGTGGAGGACCCATTCAGTTAGCCTCTTTCCCCGGCCACCCTGTCTCTGCCCAACAGGCTGAGGAACACAGTGGCCACAGTGGCACACACACTCACACCTGTGATTCTCTTTACCACTTAGGTTTCTCACCAATTTCAGTCAAACTTTAATAAAATTTCAAAATCTCTAAATAATACATTAGAATTTGACAGGTTTCTACTCAAACTCTTCATTCCCCAGAAGTCATCAAAAATCCTTTCTCTGTGTTTACTGCTTTGTCACCTATTTTCACTCCCAGAGCTGTCATTGTCATTGCAATGATATTTCTGATGTGCAAATGGAACTGGATTCCACTGTTCCTTGTTCCCCAAAACCTTAGCAGGCCACTCAAGGCGCTCTGTGCTTCCGCTTCCCTTTCTTGACACAATCCGAAGCTACTCTAAACACACATGGAACTTACATGTGGCCAAAGCCCCGTGGGTGACACATAGGAAAACTGATCCCACTCTAGCCACTTGTCAACCAAACACAGACAGAGATTCAGGAGGAGGTTCCAGTGCAATAGAGAAGGCCCTGAAAAACTTACAATTCTATTAAATATTCCAGTTTGTATCTAATTATTTCCTTACCAAATTAAAGGCCCCAGTACCAAGCTTGACGCCCCCTTCAAACTCATAGAAGAATTCCTGCTCAAGTTTGTTCTTCTGAATTTCATGCAGGATTGAAAGACATTCTCTGGATAGAAGGAAAAAAGGTACAGTGTAAGCTTACCATAACTCTGAAAATAAATATCAAATTGAATTTCACACTTACACACCATAAAATAAATGTCACTAGCTTAAATAACACAGAATGTTTAAAGGGATGATGTCAGGTTGAGTCTACTCTTAAGGATAGGGGATAATAATCACCAAGAGAAAAGGAGACACCCTTTCGTGCAGTGTTTAGCAGCATCTCTTTCTGGGCTTAAAGGAGGGTTTACTCATCAAGAAGCAAGACGCAGACCCAGGAGCCACACATCCCGTGTAGTTTCACATCGCACAGGAAACCTCCTGGGAGCACTCGGTCCCTCTGTTGCTGTGTGCACTTCAGCAACTGGACCTCCCACTTTGGAGCTGAAATGCTCCTGGCAAGAGGACCTGAATTTCAGTGTGAACATCATGGTCTCAAACATATCAAATAAATTAGAGCTTGGGACAAGGAAAGACAGAGGAGAAAGCAAGGTCCATCTCACTGCCCCCATGTGTCCTCTGGTTTCTACCCACTCCATCCACACAAATCTTCCAATTTTTCCACTGTCACTTCTTTTCTATGTATTTCTCTTTCCCATTCACATCATCTTCAAAAGGTAAATATTTCATCAGAGAAATATAAATTAAAACAATGACAAAGATATGAAATTGAGGATTGCTTGTCAAATTGACAAGTATGTACTATAAAGGTCATAAGGAAATGGGATACCATGTATTACAGAGTGTGACGCAAACAGGAGGGAGGCAACTTTGCTTATAATGTATTTGTGTGTTATAAGAATACTTTTAATCTGAATCTGGAAAACCTATAGACCTAACTTTTATTTAAAAGAAAAATTAAGACAAACCAACAACCTAAGAGCATCCCACACTATCCCCGATATCCCATTCCCATTTGTGCTTCTTATTCTGGTGTCTTTTGCCATGAGAAAATATGAATGTTTATTTGGCCAAGTCAAACAGTCTCTGTTGACTTATGACTTTGTCGTGGTTTAAAAGGCCTTTGAAATTGACATCGTGTACCCACGGCTACCATGTCTATGGTACTTTTGCTATAGATCCATAATTTGAATTCAATTATGAAGAAACACTAAATAAATCTACTTGAGAGATGGTCTGCAAAATAACCAGCCAGTATTCTTTTAAAATGTCAACATCATGAAACACAAAGAAACACTAAGGATTTCTTATTGATTTTAATATTCAGTTTATATAGCGTTTTTGCTTGAATGGTCTTTTTCGCCCCAAATTAACCATTTCCCAAAACATTTATTAAAGTACCTATCTTTCCCTACCATTTTGAATGTTTAGTAAATTCAAATTTCAAATTCCCAGAAATGTCTGTGTTGCATGCATGCATGTTTGTCACACAGTCAAAATCCTGTGGGTTTTTTACTGATCCACGTGAATACAGGCATCCCTTGTTTTACTGAACTTTGCTTTACTGCATTTTTCAGATACTGTATTTTTTACAAATTAAAGGTTTGTGTCAACCCTGCATCAAGGAAGTCTATTAGCATCATGTTTCCCATAGTCTTTGCTCACTTCACGTCTCTGTGTCATATTTTGGTAATTCTAACAAAATTTCAAACTTCTTAATCATTATTTTACCTATGGTAGTGATCTGTGTGTGATCAGTGATCTTTGATGTTACTATGGGAACTGTTTTGGCACACAACAAACTGTGCCCATATAAAATGGTGGACTTAATTGGTAAAGGTGGTATGTGGTCTAACTACTCCACTGACCAGCTATTCCCCTCTCTCTCTCTATCCTGAGACCAACAACATTGAAATCAAGCCAATTAATAACCCTATGGTTGCCTCTAAGTGCTCATGTGAAAAGAATAGTCACACGTCTCTCCCTCTAAATCAAAAGCTAGAAATGATTAAGCTTAGTGAGGAAGGCTTGTCAAACCCAAGACAGCACACAGGTTAGGCCTCTTGTGCCAAAAAGTGAAGTTGAGAGTTAAAAAGTTCTTAAAGAAAATTAAAAATGCCACTTCGGTAAATACACGAAAGGTAAAACAGTGAAACAGCCTCACTGCTGATAAGGAGAAAGCCTCAGCGGACTGGACAGAAGATCAACCAGCCACAGCATTCCCTTAAGCCAAATCCTGATCCAGAGCAAGGCCCTAACTCTCTTGAAGTCTAGGAAGGCTCAGAGGAAGGAAGTTGCAGAGGAAAGGTTTGAAACTAGCAGAGGTTGATTTATGAGGCTTAAGGCTAAAAGTCATTTACATAACATCAAAGTGCAAAGTGAAGCTGCAGCAACTTATCCAGAAGATCCAGCTAAGATAATTTATGAAGATGGCCACACTAAACAACAGATTCTCCATGCAGATGAAATAACCTTCTAGAGGAAGAAGGTGCCATCTAGGACTTTGATAGCTAAACAGAAGTCAATGTTTGGCTTCAAAGCTTCAAGGGACAGGCTGATTCTCTTGTTGGGGGCTATTGCAGCCAATGACTTTAAGTTGAAGCCTAGCCTCTGAAAATCCTAGGGCCCTTAAGAATTATGCTAAATCATTCTACCAGTGCTCTAAAACAGCAAAGCTTGGATGGTAGCCCCTCTTTTTACAGCACTGTTTACTGAATAAGTTTAAGCTCACTGTTGAGACCTACAGCTCAGAAAAAGAGATTCAACTAAAAACATTACTGCTCCCTGACATTGTACCTGGTCACCCAAGAGCGCTGATGAAGATGTAGAAGGATTAATGTTGTTTTCACGCCTGCTAACATAACATCCATTCTGCCGCCCATAGATCAGGGAGTAACTCTGACTTTCAAGTCTTTTTTTTTTTTTTTTTTTTTTTGAGACAGAGCCTCAAGCTGTCCCCCTGGGTAGAGTGCCGTGGCATTACAGCTCACAGCAACCTCCAACTCCTGGGCTCAAGCGAGTCTCCTGCCTCCGCCTCCCAAGTAGCTGGGACCACAGGCGCCCGCCACAACGCCCGGCTATTTTTTGGTTGCAGCCGTCATTGTTGTTTGGCGGGTCTGGGCTGGGGATTCGAACCCGCCACCTTAGGTGTACGTGGCTGGCGCCTTAGCCTGTTGAGCTATAGGCGCCGAGCCACAAGTCTTATTACTTAAGAAATATGTTTCATAATGTTATAGCTGCCATAGATAGTGATTTCTCTGTTAGATCCATGTAAAAGAAAACTGAAAGCCTTTTGGGAAAGCTTCACCATTTTAGATGTCATTGAGAACACTTGTGATTCATGGGCAGAGATAAAATTAGCAGCATTAACAGAAGTTTGGAAGTTGATTCCAACCCTTATGGATGACTTTGAAGGGATAACTTCAGTGGAAGAAATCACTGCTGATGTGGTGAAAATAGCAAGAGGCCTAGAATTAGAAGTTAAGCCTGAAGATGTGACTGAATTGCTGTAAGCTCATGATAAAATTTGAATGAATAAAGAGTTACTTCTTACAGATGAACAAAGAAAGTGGCTTCCTGAAATGGAAAACTACTGCTGAAGATGCTGTGAACTTTGTTGAAATGACAGCAAAGGATTCAGAACAGTACATAAACTCAGTTGATAAAGCAGCAGCAGGATTTGAGAGGACTGACTCCAATTTTGAAAGAAATTCTACTGTGGGTAAAATGCCATCAAACAGCATGGATGCTACAGAGAACTCTTTCATAAAAGGAAGAGTCAATCAATGTGTCAACTTCTTTGTTGTCTTATTTTAATAAATTGGCTGGGCACAATAGCTCACACCTGTAATCCCAGCACTTTGAGAGGCCAAGGCAGGATTGCTTGCTGCCAAGAGTTTAAGATCATCCTGGGTAACACAGCAAGACCCCATCTCCACAAAAATTAAAAATACAGCTGGGCATGGTGACTCACCCCTGTATTCCCAGCTATTTGGGAGCCTGAGGAAGGAGGATAACTTGAACCCAGGAATTTAAGGCTGCAATGAGCTATGATAGTGGCACTGCACTCCAACCCAGGTGACAGAGTGAGACCCCATTTGAATCAATCAATCTATCCCAACTCTCAGCAATCACCTCCCTGAGGAGTCAGCAGCCATCAACATCAAGGTAAGACCTTCCATCAGCAAAAAGATTATGACTTGGTGAAGGCTCAGGTACTCAGTAGCATTTTTAGCATAAAATATTTTTTTAATTAAGGTATGTACATGGCTTTCTTAGACATAATGGCATTACATACTTAATAGACTATGTATCAAGTAAATGTAACTTTTAAATGCATTGAAAAACCAGAAAGTTTGGATGACTCACTTTATTGTGATATTCACTTTATTCTAGTGTTCTAGAACTGAACCCATAATACAAGGTATGCCTACATGACTTTGCCATTATAAGACTTTATTAATGCCTTTAGTTTTTTTAAGTTTTGATGACTAGAACAGCAATTAACACTCAATTTAACATTGTTATATATCTTCTAAAAATATTTCAAGAATAAAAATCTAAAAATAGTATGGCAGGTACCAAAAAATCCAGCATCTTTTCCAAGATTTTAAATGGAACACAATTGTATAAAATGATTTTAAGTAAAAGTACCTCTTAAAACACTAAATTTTAATTGTTCTTCCAGTTATGGCAGGGTAGCTTATTTAGATTAACCCTCCCACAAATAATAATTAGAAACTCTGGAAACATATAATATATACATTTAAAATCTATGTGTACTTGCAGGCAATAGAAGGGAAGGGGAAAAAGTACCCAGAAAGAAATTGGAGAAGAATTAAATTTAATTCTTGATAATAAAACAACTATTGAAAGAACTTTACATTTACATGGCTCTTCACCCAAAAGCATTCCCCAATCTATTCAACGTGGGGTACCTACAACTCAAATGGAAAGTCACAGTCTTACTGGCTTAAAATGCCAGAGTCCAGAGGCCAAGACTGCCAGGGAAACTGTAAGGGAATGGGACAATGTCCATATATGGGAGAAACACATAGGAAGGGGACACCAAAGTATGTGTTAAAATTCCACTCAAATTCCTGGCTGACCCATGAACTGTGTGAACAGTGAGGAGAAGCCAAGGAAAAGCAGAAGCAGGACAGCAGAAAGAATGGAACACAGATTTCAGATGCTGATCCCTCCCGGAGAGTAAGAGTGGAGTCTAAATCTAGCCAAATTAAATGCTTCCTAGAATAAACCTCAGCACTCTTTAGAGAAAGGATAAAAGGGTGCAGAGTCTCTATTATGTTATCAGTTATCTAGTATATAAAAAAAATTGACTATGAGAAGAAACAGAGACTATGATATATACTTAAGAGAAAAGGCAGTAAGTAGAAACCAACTCCCAGGCAACTTGGATGTTGGAATAATATTCAAATTCTGAAAAAAAAAAAATTTTTTTTTTGAGACAGAGTTTCACTCTGTTGCCCTTGGTCAAGTACCTTGGCATCATAGTTCACAGCAACCTCAAACTCTTAGACTCAAGAGATCTTCTTGCCTCAGCCTCCCAAGTAGCTGGGACTGCAGGTGCCTGCCACAACACCCAGCTATTTTTTTAGAGACAGGGTCTCATGAAAAAAAAAAAAAAACTTTGTAATGAACAACCCCTTAGTGATCTACTGAACAAAATCAGGCAGATTGTGTAATTTAATTAGAGTCTCAGAAGAAGAGAATAAAAACGGGGAAGGAAAAGAATACTTGAATAGTAACCATAAATTTCTCAAAACCACACTTAGCCACTTCATAGTCAAACTGCTGAGACCCAAAAATACAAAATAGTCAGGCTTCAAAAAGCCAGAGGAAATGACACATTACATGGGAACAATTATACCAAAGGCAACTAACTTCTGATCATGAATAATTATGGCCTTAATACAACAGAATGGCAGTTTCAAAGGGCTGAAGGAAGGAAAAAAACACTGTTCACTCAGAATACTATAGTTAGCAAAAATATCCTTGAGGCTCGGTGCCCGTAGCTCAGTGGTTAGGGCATCAGCCACATACACTGGGGCTGGTGGGTTAGAACCCGTGAGGCCTGCCAAACAACAATGATAACTACAACAACCAAAAAAAACAGCTGGGCATTGTGGTGGGTGCCTGTAGTCCCAGCTACTTGGGAGGCTGAGGCAAGAGAATCACTTAAGCCCAAGAGTATGTGGTTGCTGTGAGCTGTGATGCCATTGCACTCTACCGAGGGTGACATAATAAGATTCTGTCTCAAAAAAAAAAAAAAAAAAATCCTTGAAAATGAAGGCAAAAGTAAAGATATTTTCAGATAAATTAAACAGAGAATTTGTTGAAGATGACACACACAACAAGAAATGTTAAAGGAAGTTTTCTGGTCTTCAAGAATGAATGAAGAATACCAAAAATGGTACATATATGGGCAAAGAGAGAAGGTATATAACATATGAATATTTAAAGCAGCAGTTCTCAAGCTGTGGGTCGTGATCCCATTGTAACAATGAATATATATCCTGTGTATCAGATATTTACATTACGATTCATAACAGTAGCAAAATTACAGTTATGAAAGTAGCAACAAAAATAATTTTATGGTTGGGTGTCACTACAACATGAGGAACTATATTAAAAGGTCGTGGCATTAGGAGGCATTAGGAAGGTTGAGAACTACTGGTTTAAAGCAAAAGTTTGGCACTGTATTGTGGGGGTTATGATATATTTAAGTATATTAAATATCATAGGAATAGCATAAAGGGTAACAGGTGATAAAACTACACTTTTGCAAAGTTCTTTTTATGTGCAGTGCTACCATATTAACTCTAAGTTGACTGTGATAGGTTAAGGAAGATCTTATAATCACTGGAGCAAACACTAAAAACAGAGATACAGCTAAGAAAATAATAAAGGATTACACTCAAGTTTTTAAAATTTTACTAAACCAAAAGAAGACAGATGGTGAGGGAACACAAGAGGCAAAGAGAAAAAGCAAAATGGTTGTCACAAGTACAAACGTTATCAATTACCAATTATGTGCAGTATAAAGTAAAAGAATATATACCATGCAAAGACTAACTATAAAAAAGCACTAGTGACTATATTAATGAGACAAAATAGATTTCAAGGCAAAGAACATTAGCAAAGTTAGATAGGGACACTTTAGAATGATAAAACGGTTAATTCATTAAGAAGACAGAGCAATTATAAACACATAGGAACCTAGCAACAGAACTCCTAAATCTTCAAGGCTAACTCTAAAGTGAGAGATGGATGATTCCAGATTTGAAGTTGGGAATTTTAATACTTTGGGTAAAAACTAGACAAAAGTCAGTAAGGATTCTGATTAAATGTATTTATGATCTATGTACAAATGACTTAATAGGAAAAAAAAAGTAAGGATACAGGGGATATGAGAGACACTATGGGCCATCTTCACTGCATATTTCCACCCACTGCAGAAAGTTCTATTGGGCAGTGCTGCTCCTAGAGTCTGAGCCAAAGGCATACCTGTAACTTTAAATCTATAAATTGTTCTTGGGAGAAAGAAACTAAGGTTAATCATAAATTATATCAGGAAAAGTAAATACGTAAATAGTTTTCAGCCATTTTGCTCTTCAAATTGTATTTAAACTTAAATCCTGTTGTCCTGTGGCGCTGAATACACAGCCAATAATTAAGTGTATTTTTACCAACATCAAAGAAGAAGACCTAGTCATTCTTAGTTTATGAACATTTTGAAGAACAAAGTAGTATATAGCACAAAATCATTTAAAAACCATATCTTACTTTTAAACTTACTTATATATTTGGTAACTTGTTCTAATTTTGAGTCCACCTTTGATGAAGTTGATCATATTTTCATCCTGAAAATAATTCAATTAAATAATTAGATCATTTAGCAAAAAAATTTAAACTGTCCCCACAGTTGTTTATTTCTTTGATTAGGAAAAAAAAAAACCTATCCTTTGAGGACATAGTTTTGAAATTAGCATATTCTTCTTACTATACGTGTGAAAAAAAATTTTTTTTAATTTTTCTTCTACATTAGGGGACAACATAAAAATATTTTTAAAATCTTTGTGTTACTTGATATTACTAAGGAGGTAAATCCTCATCAATTAGAGGCCATATGTAGTCCAAACCTACTTTAATAAACATCAGTAACTACTGAGCAATTCTCTTCTGGATTTAACAGAATCCAGAACGGGTAACTTTAAGGCTCTGCTCTAAGGCCAACTTTCCCAGCCCATTATATCCACTAAACAGAACTTAGGTTCCTCTTTCACAGGGGACTGTAGCAGGTACATTCATTCATACACAATTTTACACCAAAAATAACTGTTCTGGTTTATAAAGTGGCTGTCAGTAATACGTAATTTTTGTCTTAGGAAAAAATAAATAAATAAAAGACACTTTACTTCTTTTTGCCTGATGGTCACTGACCATAAAATTGAGGCAGGGAGATGAATGGCATTTTCAGTGCCAGCATTCCAGGCTTCTCATTCTCTCAATAAATTATATCCAATAACTGCTTGAAGGAAGTTACTGTAATAGATGGCACAGGTGGAAATAGTACCCTGTTTCAAATTTCTAAGGAGAATGTTTTCTAGTCAATTAATATCAGAAAGATGCTCTAGTATTTATTTCCTGGGTACATAAACATCCTTCTGAAGCAAAACAAAAACTGAATTTAGTTTACTAATTTCATTAATTACTTAAATATTTAACATTCTAGGAATCAACAGATAGAAAGTTCACTACATAACTTAAATTTTTATCCTATTTTAAAGAATCTTAAGATTACATAAGATCCAATACTGCACAAGAAAAAAATTCTTAAATTAGCTTAAAAATTTGCCTCAGAAAAAAGTGTTTCATAACATGATTCACCAAACACTTACTGAATGCCTATTTTATACCAAGTACTGAAATGCAAAAACAGACAAAGGCAACAGTGTTCTAAGGGATGGAGTCATGCACATGGATGGAGCATGCACACAGATGGAACATGCACACGGATGGAGCATGCACACGGATGGAGCATACACACGGATGGAGCATGCACACGGATGGAGCATGCACACGGATGGAGCATGCACACG